CTCTCTCTCTCTCTCTCTCTCTCTCTCTCTCTCTCTCTCTCTCTCTCTCTCTCTCTCTCTCTCTCTCTCTCTCTCTCTCTCTCTCTCTCTCTTCTTTCGCCTTTCGACTCTCTTATCTGCCTGCTCCTCGTTCCTTGCATTTTCACTGTCTTTTCCGCGTCTTCGCGGCGGAATGTCACAACTTTCGCGAAAGCCTTCGATTTGGACGCAGGTGGGTGGAGGCACGGACGGCGAATCCGCATCAAACGAACCGATTGCAGAAAACTTGTCGAGAACCCCGACGAAATCCGCGAGCCGTCTCCTCGTCTTTCTCTGCTCCGTTCGTCATCGTGTGTTCAGCACTGCAATGTTTCTTTCTCTTACTTTTTTTTCTTTCTTTACAGCTGCACGTTCTATCTCGCTCCTCCATGCCCGTCCCTCATTCTTTACCGATTTCTATCATTTTATTACTACACGTTGCCATCTCGTCTCACAATGTAACGTGAAAGATTGTCGAAAATGAAAAAGTCGCGAAATCATAATGTAAAAATGTGAACCGACAGATCTAACGCTAAAAGATACTTGATGCAACTGAATAGCAATCAGAGAAAAAAAGAACAGCAAAAATAGATATAATAATTATAAGATTCTATAAAAAAATTCTATAAAAATTAAAATATATTAAAATGATATTAACATTTATTTTCTAATCTACATTTATCGCTAATCGAACGATAATTAAAGCAAATATCATCTTTATATTTATATATGAAGATTGATTAAAAAATGATTATATAATATATGATTATAATATAATAAAAATTATAGTAAAATTATAATATATCTTATATTTATGTACTATCTATTGTGTATTATATTTAATATTCATTCCATTTTCTAATATTTCGTCTATTGTGTGCAAAGCTAAGCTGAAACAAAATAACTTGGCGCGTGTTGCAAGCTTGATAATCCGATATTATTATATAAATGTTTTTAGATATATTGAAACAATTTTTAATGTAACATTTCTAAAAAAATTCGGAGGGAAAATATCGAAAATGAGGATATTTTTAAACGAAAGGCGTGTATGAATCTAAAATCTCTTAAAATCTTAAAATCTCTCACAAGTAATTTTAACAGTCATCTAGAATAATTAAAGAAAATGTTGTAAACCATTTATTAAGCAATGAATACATTGCATAATATTACCGAGCATTGGTGTGATTAAGCACCGAGAGCGAAGATTAGATCGTATTAATAACTCGCGTTACCGTTGATTCGAACAAGTGGATAACGCGAAAAACAAGCGACCACCGACTCATTTCGAGACGAAACAACTGAATGTCGTTGATTATTCGTCGAGTACCTTTATTAATACGAAATTCACAGCGTATCATCAATTCGCGTTTGCACGCACGATGTTGCGCGGTACGGACGAATAAATGATGCGGAATAATGCGTCTTAATAAATCGAATGCTTCAACAACTGTTGCGCGTCCCGAAACGAGTTGGGCAAATGTCGGTTGTAAGTATAGTGGGGAATTATTAATCGCGATTCCCGAGTGTTAATTAATTTGATCACCGCGAGTAAGATTCTTCCCTCAACTCGATTATTACTCACGATTTTACACCACGTACGACGGAGCAAAAGACAAGAACGATAATTTTCGATCATTTTGTAAACGACAATGACATAATTATATTACAAATGTTTATATATTATCTTACTCAAAACAGATGCCAAAGATATCGTTCAGTAATTTGGATTATTAAAACATTAGCTATAAGTTTATGAATTCTTTCCAATTATTATAATTTCGACGTTTCTCGTTCGCGCATGTTCGCTGTTTGTCGTTACAATTATTTTACTTATTTCGATATCTCAATAGTTTTCTAATCAGAGAATCCATTATGCTGTTTGTACACTTCTCTTTTGACTTTGATCCTTTTTATTAGATAAACAAAGATCGGGAATACATACATTGATCGCGACATATTCCTGTGTCGATTTCCAAGTTTAGAGGAGCAGCGCATTACATTTTGTTTGTTTTATTCGCGCTATCACATTATACCTCGATTCGTGAAAGTCACTTTCACTATAGTTTCGACGGCGAAAAAAATTCCAATACTTTTCCATTGAAATCTGAAGCGACAATTTTATCCTATTTTCAATCTCGATTAAAATTTTTACATCTGTTTTTGGCATTGTAAATAATATAATAAACCTTTTACTAAACTATTCAATATTACAGCTATTATTTAAAAATATTATTGAAAATAGCTAAAAATTTCTTTTAAACCTTAAAATAGGAAATTATTTAGTTACTTATTTCAAAAATGTAAAATGAAGGCTTAATTCATATATAAAATAAATCTTTTAGAACTTATAAATCTCAAGTTAAAACACAGGAGTTTCGGTTACAATTAAACAATTGCTTAATGATGTTGTAATCCATAGAAAAATGTAAACAATAAAACTAAAGCAGTAAAAAAATTGACTAACCACAGTTTCGGTTATTCTTCTTATGGTCGAGAAACAATTGTCTGTGATCTTTTCTCATTGCTTTTTTCTATATGCCAGGGCTTTTGCGTCTCATTTTTCGCGAAGTGAGATAGTAACGACCAATCAGCGTGCGCGCGCATGCGCGTCACACAGAATAATTTTTGACTAACGCAGTCTTCGCAATCGTGCGATAGTTTCGTGGAATCTTGCGGTTGTTTGCACCGTCACGGTGAATCCTCTCCGTATTTTCGATATGTTTACTAATCGGGAGTGAGTGTTATTACGCGAACGAATGTTCGGCAGTGTCGAGTCGAGCGGCGGACGATCGCCATGGAATATTTATATCAACATCGGAAGTAATTGCGACAATCGAAATTCTTCGTTCGCAATCGGAGTGTGTCGCTTCGTTTCGGCTGGCGTCGCGGAAGTGTATAATAAGAGGACTCGCTACTTTGCATTATTCAGTATCTCACGCGTGACGGAAATTTCGGGAGTGTCGAGTGAGTTTCGGTCGGTTGTGCGAACGACTAACGGTGTAATTGACGATCGACAATGACTCCAGTGCGCGATGGCCCGCCTCGCAAAGTGGACCGTTACGCGGCGCATCGGTGTGAAGTTGGTCGCGCGCTCGAAAATTTTTTTTCATCCGCGCGACGGGCGTCTGACCGACAGACAGCGGGTGATCGGTGCGGCATTTCGCGTCGTTTCCCGCAGTTTTCGAATATATCTCGTGTGTAATTTTGCGTCGAGAGTGCCGTGTTACACGACGGGTGATCATTGTATCGTGTTAATTAACGCGCGGGATCGTAATTAGCCGCGTTTTTCCGATCGATATCCGCGCGAGTGCATGTTCGGAGCATCGGCGCCGACGACGACGAGGAGGCAGCTTCGACCAGGTAACAGCGGTGCATCAATGGATGAGTAAACACGTTTATTACATACAGAGGTCTTCGTAACATGTTACAGGTCATATATGTATATATTTTTGTCTGGAAAGCTACATCACCCGTCGAAAAATTGAAACTGTATATGTTATTATACGTCGAGATTTAATTTAATTTCCATAAAAGGCAATATTTTATATTTTTTTATTAATACGTTCGTTAAACGTTTATTTAACGAACAGAATTAGAATATATCGAAAAAGAATTTCTCTTTCTAAAATAATTTTTAAGAATACAAAGAGCCTGAGGCATTTTACTGGACCACATTCTGGACCAATTCTATTATTTGTTCATTTATATTGTATATCGATAATTCAACATTGCTGCATTATAGTGATCGAGTTTAAACACACATTTCGATTATATTCCTGTTATATTTATCCACATTTTCTTTTTATTCAAATAACTGAATTAAACGATATTATTTTTGTTTGGTATTTTTGTTTGCACGATTATATGGTATGCAAATGGCATTTGATTGCCAACGAAT